CGACTGCATGTTATGCCCTCGTGCACGTATTGTCTCTCTATCTATCATCCTCCTTGTAGGATTGATAAGCACAATACACTTAGTGAGTCCAAATTTTCCATACAAAATCTTTGTAACTTCCCTCTCCATCTTATATGTTACGGCTGCCTTTCCTCCTCATCTTTTCTGCTGATGTACCCAACTCATCTTATATTATATTATATTATATCTAGGCTGCTTCTCGCATACATCATTTACTTGCGCTGCATGTAAGTCAATTTTGTTGTGTCCTTCCAACACTCCTCTTCATTCTTCCAAACAATGATAACGATTATATATCTTCACCATATACATGTGTGTGTGTGTGTGTGTGTGTGTGTGTGTGTGTATAATATGTGGCATAGATTACCTAAAATCAAACGCAGTCATGATTTTTTTATACATGAAAATAAATTATTTTTTTTTTTAGAACACTGAAATTGTTTTTCCAACTGTTCCAAGCATAGTAATTGGTATCAAGAGGAGAGGAGAGGAGAGGAGTGGAGTGGTATATTAAAAAGGAAGTACGTATAAGTATATATATATATATATATATATCTTGGTCTAGTTTTGGTGTGAATATAAAATTAATAATATTTAATGGAGATATATGTACAACAAATAACATGAAGTCCATTATTGTTGCACGAAGCAACATTGGAAGTAGTGGCTTATGATGACTTAAGTGAAAACAAATATTAGGTTAATCATGCAGAGATCTAATATTATAATACCCCACAACATTTATATATATATATATATATATTGAAAACTAATTCATCTTATATTTAATTATTCAAATTATAATTAATTAATTTATATTTGTTTTTATTGTTATCTTAAAGATCGCCAACCATGTGTTGGATACTTTCCTAACCTACCAACCCACATGCTGTACGCATAAAGCTAAATTGCCTCGTGGAGCTATCAAATCAACTCAAGGCCCTTGTTAATCATAAAATTAATAAGCTTTTAATTTGATTAGCTCAGTGAATTAATTAATCAAATCTTGAATTAACCACTAGATTCTTTACCCTTTTGACTGCAACCTCTCCTCGCTCTGCACTAATCTACTTTTGACTAATCAAACATGTAATGTTGACAAATTTTATATATCCCACGATTTTCAAGACATTAATGTGAATTAGCTGTACATAATGGAATTAATCTGATCCAAAATTATTAGCAGTCAAACTCCGACGTCAAACATCACATGCATGATTTGAGGATCGATTGAGAATTTTTTTTAATCTTGTAAAGCTAGCATTAATAATCAAATCACCGAATTATCAAAATAAATTAATTTTTAAGTACAAATTTATTTAACTAGAAAATGTCGAAAGAAATTAACTTGGGTACGAAAAAAAAGAATTACAGTTACCATTAATTTAACAAGGAGAATGTGGAAAACTCAATGATTAAATGGACAAAAGGGATGGAGTCATTGCTCGTATGCCCTACTGGTCCATATTTTATATGAATGGGGTGGGGGTTCATTTGGGAATTTTAAGTTATTATTAGAGTCTTCTTTGCCACTATTAATTACTTAATACATTTTTTCTTTTAATTTAATTTTGTTTTCTTTGAACATTCTCTTTTGTAGCCCACTGTTCACACAAAACAACATGCCATCACATTGCCATGCTGCAAACCACAAAAATAATTAGTTTATATATTAGCATACAAGAATATGCTCCATAAAATATATTTATTTGTTAAATGCCCTGCATCCCGTATTTTTCAAATCTTAATTGATGTTTAAAATGCTCTCCATGGACCTAAAACAAATTAAAATGTTACAATATAGAATTTATTCTTTAAATACGCTTTGATAGTAATAAGTTCACATTCATATAAGTATATTTGATATAAATTATTTACATACAATATAAATTAAAGAGTTGTATCTCTCGAAAAAAAATAGTGTATACTCTTACTAAGAATAAATTCATCTTAGGACACGAATTAAACTTGCAGATAGAAGATGAATATAAATTTTAATAATTTTATAGGATGAATGGATATGAGATTTGATTATTTAAACAATAAGATATATTTAAGGCATAAGGATTAGGTTTTAAAAGATTAATATAAGAAATTGCTATCGAAAAACACTAATAACAGTTTTATATCTTTTTTTTTTTTTTTTTTTTTTGAAAATATGAAGAAGAAAGAACTTAAATCCGAACTATCAAATTTTATTAAAGAATCTTACGTATCTCAATAAAATATTCTTAACAGCTTGAAGTTTAAATTAGAAGAATTTTAATTTTTTTTATTAAAAAAAAAAATCAATATATATATATAGATATAGAGAGAGAGAGAGAGAGAGAGAGAATAAAGTCGAAAGATTAGGGTTTTATTTTAATTAATAAGTAAAAAGAGACAGATTCATGTGTCTTGATTATGTTTTGGAATGAATTGATATTGAATCATTAATGTCATTCACTCTACTTCCTCTTCGGATTTGGAGAAATCATGAGAACAAAGTTGTCAATGGATATGGTAATAAACTATTTGACGGAGTATCTCATCTTATAAACTAATTATTAATGGCTAACCCCCCCCCCACTCACGGCCTTTAACATTTTCCATCCTCATAATTAAAATGATTAGCTGCTCTCTTTATGTGCGTATCACATGGGAATCCCAATATCTGTATATTCATACGCATAATTACCCTCCTCATTTTGACAACTTTAAACGCATCGTATCAAGTTGTCAATTGATTTAGTTTCAAATACTTTCTGTTTTCTGATAATTGGAACCTATTTTCACTTGTATCTTTATTTCTGTAATCATAGATTAAGTTCACTCTTTTAAGATTTCGGTTTACTTTTTCCCTTGCTTCATCCTACGATTTCGGCTTTTCACATGGAGCAGATCCCTTTTGAACATGTCATGTATCGGAGAAATGTATAAAAGATTATGCATCACAATTCTCACTTTCATTCATAAAAATTGTTTTCTCATTCTTACAAAAATCAAGGTGGCTGTGAGAATACGGGAAGACAAAAACTCTTTTTAACTCTGATATATATATACTGTATACATATGTCTCTTAGAATAAATTGACTCTTGGGCTGAATTTCCGGAATTTTGAATGCTCGTCCCAATGGGCTTTTATCAATCACTTCTCTACTTCAAGTTTTTCTATTTTTATTAGATTATATATTGTGTTAGACGGTAATTAAAAAAGATTATAATAAAAACAATAGTTTTAAACATTATTTCCAGCACTCTCTTGGAAGAATACGTTCATTTACATCTAACGACTCTACAACTATTTTTCTAATATATGTTTTCATGGACAAATATATATATATATATATAATATATGAATTTAATGTTTTCACGAACAAATATGTCAAAAAAAAAAAAAAGTAATTAATTTTTAAAAATAGAAACTAAAAACTACTTTCGCATATTAGCCTGCAGGAACCCAAATT